TGGTGATTGTCGGTGGTTCAACAGCAGCATTAGGAGCTGCCATATCGGCGTCAACAAAACTTGATCAACGTGTCTGTTTATTAGAACCAACAGATTGGGCTGGTGGTCAATTAACGAGTGAATTACTTAGTGCACCAGATTTTGCTTATCATAAAATCACCGATAAAGATACAAATTTTACCCTTGATGTTGGCACTATCAATCGACAAGCAAACAATCAAAACCTATTATTTCGACAAATGATTACCACTCTTGGTAATACCGGTCGTTGTTGGGTCTCGCTTTACTGTTCAATTCCAGATCAATTTCTTTCTCGTGTAATCCAACCATTGATTGGTAATATTCGTATTTACTATAATACAGTCATCAAACAAATAATAAAAGATGAAAGTGGACGTCGAATCATTCAAATCGATGCTATTCAACGTACTCCACGTGCTTCATCTGACGAATATTGTCGCTTTTTGTCCGAAGAACTTCCTGATTGGTATTCACCCGATGAGAGTCCATGGTTTAGTAAAACTTCGTTATCATTTCGAAATATTTCTTTTGTTGTCGAAGGTACATCATGGGGTGAAGTATTAGTCTTAGCCAATGCAAGCTATCTACAAGGACTAATGGAACAATTCGATGGTGATATATCGGGTGTAGGTAATGCGACCTGTGGTCAATCATTCACATTTGATTTTCTTGAACAACTACATGAAACATCTGTTGATGAACCATCTAATCCCTTACCTGAACCGACTGGTGGAGGAAATTATTCGTTGCTAGGTTATGAATGGGAACGTATCTGGACTTATCGACGTGTGAATACATCGACAACTAGTGCGTTCGTGGCTGTGAATGATTTAACAATACAGAATTGGGATCGAGGCAATGATTATGGTCGGGACTATTTTTACCTACCAGTAGCTGATGCTCATCAACAACGTGATACAAATCAATGGCAAGGTGGAGTGAATATAAACGCTATTCGTGAAGCAGAACGACAAGCGTACGGTTATCATTATTGGTATCGAGCTAAAGCGCCAACAAACTGGGCTAATCGAACGGTTCTTGTTCGTTCCGTATCAACAGCAGGCACTTGTCATGGTTTAGCTAAAATGCCTTATCTACGTGAATCTCGTCGATCAATTGGTATCAACAATTTTCTTCTCAATATTTCAATGATTAGTGGTAATGCTCGAGATATACATGGATATATTCCTCATGATCGTTTATGTCTTGGCGCATACAATGTTGATATTCATTCGATGTCACAATGCAAATATCCAGCGTATATATATCAATATTATCCTGTTCTACCATATTATGTTCCTTTACGTGCAATGACCAATCGAGATATTGATAATTTATTTGTCATTGGTAAAACAATGGCACAAACTTTTCTCGTTAATTCAGCAACACGTTTACATCCGGTGGAATTCTCCAGCGGACAAGCAGCTGGTATCGCAAGCGCCTATGCTATACAATCGAATATAGAAAATGTCGGTGATTTAATGCAAGACGAACATTTGAGACAGATACAAGCCTTGGTGAAATCGATTACACCCATATCGTGGACAATCAATGGGACACAATATCCAGATGATTCGGCATCCTCACCATCGTTCTCTACATCAACCACACCCTCAACCACAACAACATCTCACTCTTCTTCGCCAATCTTTTCCTTATCTCTTCCTATTTTCTTTTTGGCTATGTTTTTCAGTATTTTTTAATAAATTAAATTCGTTGACGTTTGGTTTTTTGCAAGAATAAAGAAGAAATGACACAAGAAAAATTTTTGAAGAAAAAGATACAGAACTGCTTATCACTCAAATGATTTATTTCGAATCTTCTTTCTCAATGATTATTCGAACATTGACTTCGATCAACTATCTTCTCCGCCATTTCTACTCTTTGCAATGAACATAAAATGGAAATGAGAAAGTGCAAGAAACTTTTGACTTCAAATACTCTCATCTGCCGGGTCTATGTGTATAGCGTGGGAGACAATTAGGAGAATAGATGATTGTGTGTAAGAGAACTGTGAGAACAGCAGATCTGGGATGTGGGTGTGAGTGTGGGCTGTGGAGTGGGTAGTTCAATGGTCATCTACACTCACACCCACACCGCTATTCTACGCAGCAACCAATAAGCATAGATTAGTTCTATTGTAGCAATATGATCGATAAAAGTGACTAACGAAGAATAACAACATTTTTTATCTTTCAATCATATTCTATCGCTATTACATGTGAGAGATCTTTCTATAACTAATGATCATAATAATAAACAAATGTAGACTAAAAGCTGTGAGCATGACAAAAAAATGATCTCACAGAGAAATCGACAGTAAAAGACATTAGATCACAAAGAAAACAAGCATGTATTCTTGCCAATTTGCTTTGCCTAATAATCAGAGCATTATAAAAAAAAACATTCACTTTATTTTTTTCAATGAATGGCAAAAGGCAGAAAGGAAAAATGTCAATAGGAAAAAATATCAAAAATAGAAATATCGAAAACAAGAATATGAGATGAAGATGAATATGTAAGATTGAAGATGAGAGTGAGAGAAATCTGTACTTGAATATACTCTCGTTTTCAGCATTTCTATCCATCTACATTTGAATCATTATATTGTTTTCGATATTTTCCCCTTTCTCATACTGTTTTTTCTCCATTGTGTTCAATTGTACAAAATGTTATGGAATGAATGAGTGGTCGATATCGGTCACATAGACAACGACTGTTTAATCTACTGGTCGATTGATTTATTATATTCTTATATACTGTATTCATCATGTAGTTCACATCTATGCATTCTTAGTTCAGTTTGTCAGTCAATGCAACGAAGGATTCAACTTCATTTGAAGATTTATCGAACGAAGTGTTATGTGAAATCTTTGATTATTTAAATGCATTCGATCTATTCTTGACATTTGCTTCTCTTAATGAACGTATTTCAACTATTCTAAAATTTATTCGTCTTCATATAATTGTCGATTCGATGTATTATCGCCATCAAATTGAATTTCTGTCTCATCATCTGACCTTTCATTCTCACCAAGTTATATCATTAGATAGGGTGTAGGTGGGATGTAGTGTCGTGAAACAAAACACCCACACTCACATACCCACACCTACACTTACACCCACGTTGTTACATCAATTAAAACTTTAGTTGTTCGTGTTATTTTTTATTTTTTTATTTTTGTTATTCAATTGTCCATTTCTTTTCATTCATAATAGGATTAGGGTATGGGTGTTGATATGGGTGTGACTGTAGGATGTGGATGTGGGTGTATAGTACAAGGAAATTTCAATACTCATACCCACACCCTTGTCGTAGCTGTCCTTTGGATTGATCCTTTAAATTTGTTTTGACGAAAGACCAAGCATAGTCATGATCATGAGTGCAATGGAGATCACCGATTGTGATCCATGGTTGAGAATAGCATCAACATCAACTAAGCGCCCGTCCCTTGTTACTGTAAGACGGTGTTTGAACATAATCTCTTTCACCGATCGCAGGGTTGACTGATCATTGCACAAAGATCGGTTGCATTGAATGTCAAATGTAGCCTCGTAACCATCAGTCTGACGCATGCTGACGTAGACTCCACTCAGAATCAGTTCAGTGCCACAGGAAGCAGTGGTTTGATTTTTAAATATATTATCTGATATGAAACACGAACGTCGTTCTGTTGGTGTACCACACGGATGTGTGGTTTGGTTGACATCGTAACAGACAAGATCAGAAGTATTGGATGTGGAAGCAGAGAAGCTTGAAAGCAACGGGGTCAGTTCGCTCCAGATTGCACGAAAATTGAACTGTCGTTTTACTATTTCATCCGTGAAATTTTTTGCTAACTCGCGACCACAATCATCCCTATCAGTACATGCTTCATAGATGCTGTAGAAAAAAAATGGGGAATACGGCGGTCTAGAATGTAAGCTGGAAGAACGTACACCAATGGTATTCTCTGATGCCTCAGCAAAGAAGCTAATACTGTAGTAACCGGCTTCATCCATAATCTGCAGAAACACACGACATAGACGAGCCGATGCTGTTTGATTACATCGATCAGGAACGGCGAACGGTGTCGTTAAGTAAGATGAATAAGAGCAATTGGTAGTACATTGAAGAGCGGTGCATAGCAAACAGTAGTGCATGAGGCTCACGATGAGAATTCGAAGAAGCAACATGTCGCAGAAAAAAAAAGAACACTCTTTGTTAAATGCCAAGATAAATGATCCTTTATAAGCTTCAGCTGCCTTTATAAGAGCTTCGTCCATGAAAAAAAGGGGGCGACCGCTATTAATCATTCTTTACATTTACAGTGTGTGATAAATACGTTTCACGTCTTGGTTGTTATCGTGTCTAGCAACAGCTTTGTTGTATTCAATAAAAAGAAGTGTGCCATGATAAGAAGCAGTGAATCACATTTATGTTTTATTGCATCTTGTTATTCACGTCATGCTCGACAAAGAGCGAATGGTGGGAGTTGTTGAAGATATAAGCTCCGCCCCGGCACACATTTCATGTTCACATTCTCAAAGACTGAAAACACATTCAAAAACCTTCTATCTGCGACAGAATGGAATTTTCCAAAGACTGTCAAATCTGTTTGAAGCAATGATTCTCGAATAAAATGGACATGCTCCCTTGTTAGCTCTACAGTTCGTATTGGAACTATATGATAGAGCTTATCACTATAACATATATAAATCGTTAGCTTACATACATTGATCGTTATGTAGCTATTGATGTATATGTGAAAAAAGATGTTGATGATGTAATAACGAAGTATATTCTCGGAGAAAAACAACAATAGGAAGAATGATGATGTTGAGAATATCTTTTCCTAACAAGTGAAAACAATATATACGTATAATAGGAAAATCAATCATGTGAGTTGGTTATCCGACAAATGATGTAATAGAACAAAACAAAATCAACAGAATATACATATACATTAAGTAGTTCAGCGTCAGTTAACGCCCTCTACTGATACCAACATTCCTGAATACGTGTGTATGCAAGTATTCATCTGGCATCCTACCAACACTTTTTACAAAAAGAGGAAAATAGAGGGTTTTTAATAAAAAAAAGAGGAGAAAAAGAGGCATACAGTTTTGTTCGAAGAAAACTAAAACTCACTGGCACAATAGTACTATAAATCCGACAAAACTCGTACGTTATCAATATGAGTTGAATATGACTTGAAAGAGTAAAAAAGAAACGAAACTTCCCATTGTTCATAGAGATTTTTGTGCAATTGCTAATGTATGCATTAGAAAAATAGACTATTCTATTTGCGTAGTATCTGACTATAATATTACTCTATCTGACTAAGTAGGTAGACAGAAATAGAAATCATCAGAATTCATTAAATGTTTTTTTTCTGCTTTTTGTTCTTTTTTTTTGGATGACTGTGCATGTGAGAAAGGTTTCTTTTTCGTTTTTTTCAATTTTCAGCAATTCTTCTATGATTCTGATCATTTTTCGCAAGTCAGTTTCACTTTTCTGTTTCCTAGCATAAATTAATACATTGGTTGCAATGATGTCCAGACAGCGAGTTTGTGAGAAATCGTTTGACCCCGTGCTATCGAAAACGCTTGATTTTTCCCAGTGAAATATGGTCATCTTCCTGCGTTCTATAGAAAACGACTTATTTGTATTGGGTAGATTGTATGATCCTCTGCTTTTTGGTCAGTGGGGCGCCCCTATTTGTTGCTATCGCATTCCATCATATCCAATTTCTTCCATTATCAAACCGTTGTCAATATTAATCCATGTCAAGCAAGCACGCTTGTAATCTGAGAAATACGACGTTTCACATCGCCCAGTATTGTAATCGTACAGCTCCGAGATCGTATGCGCAGAAATACGATCGTTTATGGGCAAATAAAGCTCGTCTATGACTTTTGTTTTACTTTGTATTTCATCGTATATGACTATATCCATCTGTGTACGGTTTAGAGATATACGATCGTCCAAAATGTGATTGTATACGGAGAAACTCGGAGGGAGAGGAATTACTTGATTTTGACAGTACATCAAAAGCGTAAGGTAATCTAGCAACGTACCACGGTATCTGTAATCAACCTAGTAATTTTGAAGGATCCAATATTGCCCGATACAACATGAAATCTTTTATCGGTATCTGATAAGCAAAAATCTTCAACTTATGACATCATACTATCAGAAGCTATCTTGTCGAAGAAATCCTATCGAATCTGACAGGATTCTAAGATAGATCTAGCCACTTTGAAAACTTCTTCTCATTTTGACGCATGTGTTACGCTACGAGTTAGCTATTCGTTGTTAGATTCACATCACAAGCTTCCATGGGGCTGAGGAAAATGGTCAAAAAAAATAAGCTCGATATTATCATTTTACATGTCGATCTTTACCAGAAAAACTTGTCAAGATTGTGAGAGAACGATGAGTTCACATTGGAAATATAATTGAGCGATTTTGCTTCCATTAGAGAGCTATAAAAGTTGGATCCCAATTAGGGATATATAACATCACTGAAATTAATCAGTAAAATCATATAATTAACCCTCATTAGCTATACATCTCGACTGATCGGCACATCAGTTTGTGTTATGTGATCTTTTTGTATGGTATGGTAACATTAATCAATATATTCATGGATATTTTCGCCAATAAGCTATTTTTTCTTGAGAAAAGAGGAAAAGAAGAAAAAAGAAATGGAGTGGGATG